GATTACCATTTCTCCTCAGTCTCTTTAGTGGAATTGAAAAGGAGGGAACACTGCCAAATTCATTCTTGGAAGCAAGCATTACCTTGATTCCAAAACCAGACAAGGATCCAAACAAAACAGACAACAGACCAATCTCTTTAATGAACATAGACACAAAACTCCTCAATAAGATACTGACAAACAGAATGCAAAAAATAATCAAAAGGATCATACATAATGACCAAATAGTCTTCATACCAGGATTACAAGGATGGTTCAGCATACGTAAATCAACAAGTGTAATGATATATTGCATAAACAGGAGCAAGAACAAAGATCACACGATCATCTCACTTGGTAGAAAAAGCCTTTGATAAAATCCAACATACATTCATGATAAAAACCCTGACGAAAATAGGTGTAAAAGGACCTCATCTCAATTTAATAAAAGGTATTTATGAGAGAACTATTGCCAACATTATATTAAATTGGGAAAATGAAGACTTTTCCTCTAAAATCAGGAACAAGACACCTTCCTTTGAAATATAGTGCTCAAAATATTAGCCAAAGCAATCAGCAAGAGAAAGAAGACAGGATATGTATAGGAAAGGAAGAAGTCAAATAGTCACACAATCCTTATTTGCAGACAACAGGACTCTATTTAGAAGACCTAGAAAATTCCACCAGATGACTGTAGAGCTAATAAATTTAGCAGGGAAGCAGGACATAAAATCAATACATAAAAATTAGTAACGTTCTGGTACACCAATAATGAGCCCACTGAAAAAGAAATTAAGAAAACAGTAATATTCTCAATAGCCACAAGAGAAATTACTTAGGAACTAATAAAAAAGGTGAAATACCTGTAAAATGAAAACTGTAGTACTCTGAAGAAGGAGATAAAAGAGGACATCTGAAAATAGAAAGATATCCACATTCTTGGATAGGCAGAACCAATATTGTCAAAATGGCCATATTTCCAAAACTGATATATAGATTTAATACAACTCTAATCAAAGTACAAACAGTATCATTCACAGAAATACAGAAAACAATCCTAAAATTTATATGGAACTAGAAGAGACCCAGAACAGGAAAAGGGCAAAAAGAGGAGGCATCAGAATCCTAGATTTTAAGTTATATTCAAAGCTATGTTGATATAAATAGTGTGGTACAGGCACGAAGACAAACATGTGGAACAGAATAGAGGATATAGGAACAACCCTAGGCACATTCAGCCATCTCATTTTTTACAAAGGGGTCAAAAACTTCCTGAAAGAAAGAATAGCCTCTTTAACAAATGGTGATGTGAAAACTGGCAGTTCATGTGCAAAAGATTGACTCTAGATCCATATCTTACCATGTACTAAGCTGAAATCAAAATGGATCAACAATCTAAATAATAAAACAGGAGCACTTAATCTGCTTGAAGAGGAGATAGGCAAGCCGGGCATGGTTGCGCACACCTGTCATCCCAACACTTGGGAGGCTGAGACAGGAGGATCGTTGCGAGTTCGAGACGAGCCTGGGTTACAAAGTGAGCTCAAGGCCAGCCTGAACTGCATAGCAAGACCCTGTCTCAAAAAGACAAAAAAAAAAAAAAAAAGGAGATAGGCAAAATTCTTGAAGACATAGGCATAGGCAAAGATTTTCTGAACAGAACCCTCACTATACAAGAAAAAACATCAAGAATCAATAAATAGAATTATATCAAATTAGAAATCTTCACAGCAAAGGAAACAATCAACAGAGAGAAGAGACAACCTATAGAATGGGAGAAAGTCTTTGCCAGCTACTGCTCAGAAAACGAATATCTAGAATATGTAAAAAACTAAAAAAAAAATCAGGCCTCCAAATATAAAAGGCCCAATCAAAAATGGGTAACTGAAATTGACAGACACTTCTCAGAAGTATAAATGGCAAATAAATACGTAAAATAATGTTCAACATCTCTGTCCATTAGAGAAATGCAAATTAAAACAACATTGAAATATTCTGTGTTCCAGAAAGAATGACTATCAACAAGAAATCAAATAGTAACAATACTGGCAAGGCTGCAGGGAAAAAAGAACCCCTGTTGGTGGAAGTGTATACTAGTATAACCACTATGGAAATCAGTGTGGGGGTTCCTCAAAAAACTAAAACTAGAAATTCCATTTGACCCAGCTATTCTTCTTCTAGGTGTCTCCCTGAAATAGCTAAAGGTATATTCATAGCCATGTTTATGGCTGTACATTTAAAATAGCTAAATCTTGGAAGCAGCCTATGTGTCCATCAGCAGATGAATAGATATAAAGAAAATATGAAATTTATACATCGTGGAGCACTACTCTCCCATAAGGAAGGGTAAATGAGTGATTTGTAGAAGGGTGGATACACCTTGAAACAATAATGTTAAGTGAAGCCGGGTGTGGTGGCGCATGCCTGTAATCCCAGCACTTGGGATACTGAGACAGGAGGATCACCGTGAGTTCAAGGCAAGTCTGAACTACATAGTGAGACCCTGTCTCAAAAAAAAAAAAAACAAAAAAAAACCAAAAATAATACTAAGTGAAATAAACCAGACACAAAAACTTAAATATTGCATGGTTTCTCTTACATGAGAAACTCAAAGTATAAATAATTTAAAGAGCAAAATAAAAGATAATAGGAAACAGGGAGATAGATTTATAGCAAATGGGAAGGAGACCAAAAGGGAGGGAGAGGGTGTAGGGGGAGTAAAAAGAATTAAGATTGGTTATGTACATGTAGCAAGTCCCTAAGATGAATATAGTCATGAACTGCAAACTTCATACACATAAAAATGAAAATAATTTAAAAGACGCATATAAGGATATAGAAAAAACAAACACAGTTTCTCCTAGTATACTTACATAACACAGAATACTTGTGACCACAAATGTGTGGAGTTTTGTACATGTCAGAGAAAATTCTGCAGTTAATTCTCCAGTAGACAACGGCCGAGACTCCTCAAGGCTACCTATACCTCTTCACAATCACAACAGAGAGAAGAGACTTGCAGCTTTTTGTGACTTTTGTTTTTGGTCAGTGAGTTATAAATTGGGGTTCCCATGACCCCTTCAGTGGGTTTGCTTCATTTCCTAAAGTAACTCATAGATCTGGGAGAAACACTTTACTCTTATGTTTCTATTATAAAGGACATTACAAAGAATATAGATGAACAGCTAGCTGGAAGAGGTGTATATCGTGAAGTATGGGAGAACGTATGAAGTGTCCATGCTTTCACCAGTTACACTACCCGGAGCTTCTGCATGTACAGTTGTCTGAAGCCTTCCTTCTCTATCCTTGGCCTTTTGCATTGTTGAAGAGGCTTTATTATATTGGCATGTTTGAGAATATCCTTCGCCATTAGTGGTCAGTCTTGTCTCTCCCCAGAGGTTGGGGGTTGAGGCTAGCTGAAAGTCCCAGCCCTCTAATGTCTTTCCAATGACCAGTCTCCATCTTGAAGCTCTTTCGAGGCTCCCAGCCACCAGTCGTCTCATTTACATAGAAAGACACTAATCAGTAAGGAGAATCCCAAGAATTTGAGAAGCTCTATGCTAAGAAATGGTCAAAGACCACATACATATTTCACAGTGTCATAGCTGGCTATTGTCCAGAAGAGTGTGAGAAGAGTAAAGGAGCCAGTGGACCAGGAAACTGTAGTATGATTCTTGGGTTTCCATCTTTGGGCATCATTAAGATCTCTTTAAGGTCATGAATTTGGAATGGAACATCAGAGTTGTGTGGTTTTTTCCCCCCTAGTGTTTAACAGCTAACTTCAATAGTGTATTGGTTTGCTACAGTTTGTTTAGGGGGTTCCTTGTTTTATTACTGTCTTGGTTACTTTTTTTCTCGCTGCTGGGACAAAACACCTGACGCCCCAAAATTAAGGAAGAAAAGGTTTATTTTGCTTACAGTTTGTGGAAGTTTCAATCCGTACTTGACAGATTACAAGACGGAGTGACACGTGGCAGAGGGCTGCATCTCAGGGCGGCAGCACAGCTAACCCGCAAGCACTCACCAGGGCGGAATGGGGGAGGAATGCCCCAAGCACTCTTTTCCTCTCCCTTACATATGCAAACTATCCACCCAGGGCGGGTGTAGCTCTCAAACCCATAAAAATCAAACTCTAGCAGCCTGCCCCATGGTCGCATGAGGCTTTGGAGGGGACACACAGACATAAACCATAACAATTACAGTTATGGAGGGGACACACAGACATAAACCATAACAATTACAGTTACGTTTTAAGTTTTCTATCAATTTCTGTATGTGTGTGTGTATATATATGTGTGTGTAGTGTGTGTGGTGCTGGAATTGAACGCAGTGCCTCTCTCAGACTGTGCACCTGGCTCTCCATCACCAGCCCAACCACTAACGTTGTGATAAACCTTTTTTTTTAAACTAATCTTTTCATAAGTTAATAATAATTCTTTAGGTCACAATCCTTGAAATAGAATTACTGACTGAAACATTATGTTGATTTTCAAAACTTTATGTTAGAGAAAGTGCCAAATTGCCCTACAGAGGAAGATATACCAGTTTATACTCCCAGTAACATTAGTGTCAGTTTCCCTATACACTTGCTCAAGAATATGTATTGTTAAGTAGTTGTTCAGATGTATTGTTATGACAGTGTTGTACCAATTGACTACATAAAGACTATAGTGCTTCCTTATTTATTCTAATTGTAACTTACTTGATTACTAGTGACCATGCCTCCATATTTTGTTTGTTCTTTTGTGAGTTATCTCTCACATCCTTTGCTCATTTTTCTTGTGGGACATTTCTTACTAGTTTATAAGAATTTTTGATAAATCTTTTAACTATGTGCTACAATTTTTTGTTTGCTTTTTAATTTTGTTTTTGGGGTATTTTAATGAAATTAATTTTATGTTGTTAAATCTTTCAGTTGCTTTCAACTCATTTATATGTCCTTGCTATTTTTTTCCCCTTTGCATCACAGATGAGTAGTTTGGATTTAGTAGAAACTTAAGTATTTCCTGTGTCTTTTACAGCAAAAATTTGTGGAGAAGATGGACAGGTGGACCCCAATTGTTTCGTTTTGGCACAGGCCATAGTCTTTAATGCAATGGAGCAAGAGTAAGTGAGTTTAATATTTTCACATTTTGCTCCTTGGAAGTTTGGGTTCAATGTTAGGAAATGGACTTAAGTCAACAAAAAACAAACTGTGTTTGAGGATTAAAGTAGTTTATATATTTATAAATTCATAAAAGCATATTCTGAAACTCTTGGTTAATAATTTCTTTTAAATATAAATTGTGTAAATTCTATTGAAGATAAAATAGTTTTCATTTTGAATGTTAATAGTACCTAAGTAAAAGAATTTTTTAGTTCTAAAGTCATTTGTGTGTAATTGAGACCTGAGTATCTGTTAGAAATGGTTTATTTAAAAATGCATGTCTTCTGATGGATGTGCTTTTAGTTCAGTGTTTGCTATATAACTGAATGCACATAGATTTGTTGAAACTGCCTCCAGAACTTTTTAGGTTAGTTATTGCTGCATGCCCTTAAACATGTATATATGTTTTCATTCTCTCATTCAGTATTTATTAAATGTTTTGTGCAGGGCACAGTTTAGTCCCTGCCTTGAAGGAAGTTTTAGGGTTAAAAAAAATAGGCATTTTTTTGGTTACATTACTGTAAAGAAGCATGTATTAAATATCAGAGGAGAGCTACAAAGTCATTAAGAAGTGGGAGAGATTACTTATATAAAGGAATCAGGGACCTAAGTATGGAAAGTGAGGAAATCCTGACCTAGGTCTTTAAGATACAGTTGGGACAGTATGGAAAGAGTCTGTTTTTCCCAGTTAAGCTCTTTCCTTGGTCGTTCCCTCAAAATTTCCCTTTTGTCCACGTGCAGGCACTTTAGTGAGTTTCTGCGAAGTCACCATTTCTGTAAATACCAGATTGAAGTGCTGACCAGTGGAACTGTTTACCTGGCTGACATTCTCTTCTGTGAGTCAGCCCTCTTTTATTTCTCTGAGGTAAATTCTGCATTTCCTTTTATACTTTGTCTACTAGAGCTTCCCAGCTTCTGAACTATAAATGCTGGGACCCTGTGTATAAAAAAGTGACTTAGACGAGATGAATCATTTAAAAAATGATTTATTATTGTTTTAAATTGTTTCCAATGGCAAGAATACTTTGATGGCATATTTGTCAGATTAGAGAGAACAGGAACATTCAGTGTAAAGTAACTCTTAACTTTAAAAACTAATTAAGCTACTGCTTATAACAGAATGCAGGTTTTTAATTACTTGGGACTATTTTTGAACCATAGAATTTGATACTTAATTTCTGTGCATAAATAATTGGGGACCACATTTCTGAAGAGAGAAAGAAAAGTAGTAAATATTTTCCTACTCTTAGTTTTACTTTAGCTGCTTGATAGGATTACCTAATGAAGCATTTGCGACAAAGTATACTAATCTCTTTGAGGCATATGGTATTTGGTAGGTTTCAGGTTGACTATGAGAGGATTCCCAATCTCAAAGCAGTAACCTAAGTGCTTGTATTCTGCCTCTTTGCAAGAATACAGTTATTCAGTTGACTTTCACACCTTTTTTTTTTTTTTTTTTTGCCATAAGTTTAAATCAGGATTTGTTGAGGTTAATATGTCCTCATGGAATGATAGAAATGATCAGACGTAAAAGATTTGGTTTGATTAGCTTATCCCTTATATGTTTGCCAGCAAGGAGCTACTAATCTAACTTAGTATAATTTTTTTTTGTTTTGTTTTGTTTTTTTGGTTTTTCTCCGGTACCGGGAACCGAACTCATGACCTTGCGCCTGCCAGGCAGGCGCTTTTGCCGCTGAGCTAAATCCCCAGCCCCTAACTTAGTATAATTTTTATTTCAGTTCACTGAAGTTTACATCCAGCTCTGCTGTATTAATTTTGTTCATTTTAGGTTGTATTTTTCTCTTCTAAAAGAATATTGTAAAACTTTTCTATTTCAAATGATTGTATGTTGCTGACTGGTATAGGTGAAGAAGTGGATCTTTTTTGCTTCTTGCTTTATCCTGTGTTTTAATACTTCGAATTTATTATAAGAGGTGGGGAGAGTAATCTGTTTCTAATCTTATCCCTTTCGTATTTTTCCTTCCTAGTACATGGAAAAAGAAGATGCAGTGAATATTTTACAATTCTGGTTGGCAGCAGATAACTTTCAGTCTCAGCTTGCTGCCAAAAAGGGCCAGTATGATGGACAGGAGGCACAGAATGATGCCATGATCTTATATGACAAGTGAGTTTTATTGATAGATGCCTTTAGCACATATTTATTTGGTATTTGATATTATGTAGTTTGGAAATAAAGATGAATGAACTCAGTCTCTACTATCAAAGAGCTCAGGTGAGGGAACGTAAAATGTGCTTTTCATGTGTGTGTAAAACTTTGGGAGGGGGTTCTTAGAACAAAGGGGATTTTTTTGAGGGGAGAGTTTATGTGAGGAAAGCAGGATGACAATGTGGTGTTCAGGGAGGGTTTCACAGAAGAAGGATTTGATTTGGATCCTGAAGAATGAATTGAATTTTCCAGTCATAGAAGGCAGGAAAGGGAAGGCAGATTCTATACAAAGTACATTAGCACAAGGAGAGCCATAGAAACTGGGGAAGGTGCCACTTTTAAGAAATTTGAGCGAGGTCGGGCATGGTGGTGTAATCTCAGCACTTAGGAGTCTGAGGCAGGAGGATCACTGCAAGTTTGAGGCCAGCCTAGGCTACATAGTAAACTGAAGGCCAGCCTGAACTACACAGCAAGATTCTGTCTCAAAGAAAAAAGAAAAACTAGAATGTGAGGGCAGTGTATAACTCAGCAAGAGAGCCGTTGTTTAGTATGTCCAAGGCCTTGGGTTTTGATCAAGGAAAAAGAAACAAAATGAATCTTGAGTTTGGATACTCTACAGGATAAGGCATATAAGAGGAACCCAGCTGATTGAAATAGATTGCAAAGGGTCTTCAATATTTTTATTTGGGTATATCACACTTTCTGGTGTGTACATCTGCTCAGTCACATTTCTCAGTGAATAATTTTTCTTTTTTGGTGTTGGGACTTGAACCTAGGGTCTCACTAACACTAAGCATATACTCTACCCCTTGAGCTATAGCCATAGTCAGTTTCTCATTAATTTTCCCTGAAAATGAGAGATGGGAATAATCTTGGAAGTGAACAGAAGTGGAACTATCTGCTCTGGCAAGTGATAAGACTGTGGTGGTAGTGTTCCTACTTTATAACCTATGGTGGTAATGTTGCTTTTGTTAAAATTTTCTTTGTAATTTATTATTAGTATCTACAAGCAAGCACTAAGTGGTTAATTTGAGGATACAGTGAAAGAACTCCAAGAGATGTTAAAGTTAAAAGAGAGCCAAGAACATCTAGGCCAGTTGTTCCTGAACATCAATCTGCAGGCTTACACTGGGCTGTCTGTGCGAGTCACCTGCGAGCATGTTAACAATAGGTTTCCAGTTCTCTTCTCTAAGAAATTCTTTCTTTCTTCCTTTTTTTTTTTTTTTTTTTTTTTTTTTTTTTTTTTGTCTTTTTGAGACAGGGTCTTGCTATGCAGTTCAGGCTGGCCTTGAGCTCAGTTTGTAGCCCTGGCTGGTCTCGAACTCACAACAATCCTCCTGCCTCAGGCCTCCCGAGTGCTGGGATTACAGGCATGCACCACCGTGCCTGATTCTAAGAGATTCTGATTCATCAGGTTTGAGGTTTGAGGTGTGACTCAGGAATCTTTATTTTTAGACAATATTCCAGATAATTCTGATGAATAGGCAGTTAGAGATTCAGTCCGATTTTCCCACTTTGTAAATAAGGAAACCAAGGCATTAGAGGGATAATGATTTCCCCAAAGTCATAGCATGTGTAAGTAAGTGACAGAACTTGGAGGAATACAATTCTTAATATTTCTCTAGAGTTTATTCTAGTATAATACATTTATGGAAGATATGTAAGAAACCTTGTTAAATGGCTATTGAAATAGCAAGAGTTTATAGTTAGAAATAATGGGATCCCTGAAAATTCATGTTATAAAGAAATATTTACCAACTTATTACAACATAAGAGACTTACTTTTTGTTACAAAAATGTTAACTAGAAAAGGATTTTCTTGCACCAACACTAGTAAGTACCTGGCTGGACCTAAGTAACTACATGGAGCAGGACCCTGTTTCTCACTGGATTCTGTTTTCACCTTAGGAGATGCTTTTAAATGAAGATGACTGTATGACATCCCACTAGCACTGTCAGTTTGTCAAATTTATTGTGTCAGTTTTATCTTTATAACTTCCTACTTGTTTGTTGTTACACACGCATCATCACATTTTTCTGTCATACATGGGGATAGAACCTGCTAGTGCTTGCTTGCAAGGGAACTTTTTTTCTGACTTTTTAATTTTTTTTGGTATCTACTTCATAATCAGCTTACCAAAACGCTAGGTGTTTTAGATCTTATCAAGTTAGAAACCTATGAGCTAGCATTAGTTATTCCTTTTCCTTTCCATACGAGATCATCAGCTAATTCTAGTGTTCTCTGCAAGTAGATCTGTCCTCTTTACCCTTGGTGTCATTTTGTTTTGAATCCCTGCAGGTTTTTTGTTTATGCCTCATGATTATGATGGTATGTCCTCATTGTATCCTGTTAACAGATGCTTTCTGCTCTTTTCAGAGGATTATGCCCATGTCTTACTCTCTTATAAATTCATTTCTACCTACTAAGTACTGAACATAGGTGTCTATTAAATGTGTGTGGTTGATTGCCTTGGTTGCAGCCTAAACCTCAGCTCTTAATTATCAGCAAAGTTGGCAAAGGAGGAACAAAGGATGGTTGAAAGGCAGAAAGGAAGATAGCAAATTGGCCCAGATATCTTTGGGGAAGTAGGAGTAAATAAAGGTTATAACAGAGCATCATCACCCAGCTCTTTGATTCTAGGTCTGCAGCTGCCTCAACTACATAGCGTCATATAATAATTCTCTTAGTGTAGGTGCCAAAAATTGCTTATATTTGCTATGGAATTTGAGTTTACTATGTATCTCTTTCTTCCATAGATACTTCTCCCTCCAAGCCACACATCCTCTTGGATTTGATGATGTTGTACGATTAGAAATTGAATCCAATATCTGCAGGGAAGGTGGACCACTCCCAAACTGTTTTATAACTCCATTACGACAGGCCTGGACAACCATGGAGAAGGTAACGAAGATCCTCAAAAGTTTTAAACAATAAGAAGTTTTACTAGTCAAGCCCAGAAAATATAACCAAAACATAACAGTGGAAAATTGAAGCAGTACAGCATAGTGATTAAGAGAGGAGGCTTTAAGTCTGGCTTGGTATGTATTAATTTCACCTTTATAGGCTGAATGACCCCAGGCAGTTACTGAAATTCTTTAATGCTGTTTTCCTTATTTGTAAAGTAGGCGTGACATCAAAGTTATTTTGAAGATTAAAATGAGGTAATATGTAAAATACTTATTAACATAGTGCCCAACACATGGTAAGCATTTAAAAATGTTAACTACTGTCCTACTGTTGTTACTATTATATATTTTCAGATAGTTAAATGGTAGTATGGGGCAAACTTAGCTTAAGAAAGATCTAGAAGGTTGAAAAACTAGTTGTACGTATCATGATCACTTTAAAGATATTATTAAAATTGCTTATTAATGAAGGTATCACTAGTAGCTTACTAGTAATAATAAAGTTAAAATTAGTGAATGATTTATTCTTTTGATGAAGTAGAGCATATTTTGCCAGGAATTGCATAGAGGCCAGGATAAGCCTTTGAGGTTAGGTTGCTAATACCTGTCATGTGTATCCAGATGCAAAAATGTTAAGAATTTTTACTTAATACTATACACAAATACTGAATTTTAAGAAGTATTTATAGAAACCCAATCATTGAAAAGCTGGAAGTAACCAGGCGTGGTGGTGCATGCCTGTAATCCCAGCACTCAGGAGGCTGAGGCAGGAGGATCCTTGCGAGTTTGAGGCCAGTTTGGGCTATAAAGTGAGCTCAAGGCCAGCTTGAACTACATAGCAAGACCCTGTCTGAAAAAGATGGAAAGAAAAAAAAAAGCTGGAAATAATACAAAGACCATTAGCTATTACCTAGGGGTAATAATCTTTTATATGATTAAAATTTTTCTGCCAGGTATGGTCGCATAGGCCTGTATTCCAACCGTCCAGAGAGGCAGGAAGATGGCAAGTTAAGCAACATAAGTGAGACACAGTCTCTAAATAAATAAATAAAATAAAATAAAGGAAAAGTTCAGATCTGTAGCATATAAAGAATTTAAACTTTCTAGGTAATAAAATTAACATACAAAGAAAAATAAAATATAAAAACAGTTCTTACTAAGTATTTATAGGTAAGGAACTTGCACTAATTTTTAAGAACACTAGCAGGATCCTGTAAAATAAGTGGGAAATGGACATGAAGACATGAACGATTGATGTAACAAATACTTTGAGTACTTCTGTGCTAATTATTCCCATTATAGGGATAAACAGAAGAAATGTAGTTTTTTTTCAATTCTGGAGTTTATTCTATAAAGAAGGTACAAATTAAGTACAGACATAAATATTTATAGTGTACTGAGTGCCATGAAGGAAAGCTTTGTAATAAACAATGCAAAAGAATAAGCTGGCCATGGTGGCATATGCCTGTAATCACAGACAAGGAGGATCATGAAGTTTGAGTCCTTAAGCAACTTAGAAAGACCTTGTTTCAAAATAAAGAAAAGGTCTGTGATATAATACTATGTGAAAGCCCTGGGTTCAATGCCCAGTACTGGGGCAGGGGGTAAAAATAATAAACATGGGAACTTACTTAGTATGATTAAAAATTACTAACTGCAAATAAAGTCATTTAGGTACCATCTGGCATCTATTTAACAATGATTGGAGAAATAACTCAGTTTTGGAATGCTTGTGTGGAAACATTTTGTTGTGTACAGGTATTGCTAAGGAAACAAATTGACAACATCCTTTTGAAGAATCAACTGGCTGTATATATTAGTTAACACAGCAATTACACTCTTGATAATTTATCTTAAAGAACTCAGTTCAGAAGCAGAAATCAGTATATACACAAAGACTTTACTATTTGTCACAAAACAGAAAAATCTAGTTTCAAATTATATCTATTCTGCGCTATTTTTTGCTCACAAAGAGTATTAATATCCAGTCTATATAATTTCCATGACCAGTGTATTGGTGGGAAAACTCAATATTGTGTGTATTGTAATTTCAGTTACAATGTAAAGTGCGTACAAAGGGGTAATATCTCAGAATGTGATGAAAAGTGCAAACATTTGTGTTAACTGGTAAAGTTATAAGTAAAATTTGTTTACTTAAAAAAGATATAGAAGTATTGATTTTTACTTTCAAATAATGCTTTTTCTCTTTCAGGTCTTTTTGCCTGGCTTTTTGTCCAGTAATCTTTATTATAAGTATTTGAATGATCTCATCCATTCTGTTCGAGGAGATGAATTTCTGGGAGGGAGTGTTTCTCTGACTGCTCATGGCTCTGTCGGCCTTCCTGATGAGTCTCACCCAGGTGGTTCCGATAGTGCAACTTCTCAGGTACTGGCTGACTTAGAATCTACCATTGTGAAGAAGGATACACATCGTTTCCTTCAAATATCAGTAGTAGATCTGATTTATGAATTTTAAATTGTAGACACAAAAGAGAAATAAAATTATGCTACTTGCTTTTGGTGGATAACCATCATACTGTATTGTAAAATATGCTGTTTTTTCAGGCCATTACTCTGACACAGTGGCTATTCTTCTTAATGGTCAAATACTATGAAATATATTTACAACTTTTGAAGAACACTGTGTAATTATTTGAGAATTTTTTTCCTTTGATTTTGGTTTTTTGAGACAAGGTCATTCTATATAGGCCAGGCTGGCCTTGAACTCATGGTGATCCTCCTTAGTCTGATGAGTGCTGGGGTTATAGATGTGTGCCATCATATCCAGTGTGAGAAATTCTAATAACTAAATTTAGGATGCTTTTTTTAATAGAATAATTGAGTGATCTCTGAGGTTTTTTTCCTTTAAAAGAAATTTTTTTTTTTTTTAAAAGTGAGATCTTATTAAGTTTCCCATGCTGATCTCAAACTCAAGATCCTCCTGCCGTAGCCTGCCAGGTAGCTGGAATTTCAGGCATGTGTCACCCAACATGTTTGAGTCTTAGGTTTCTTAATACTGTATTTCACTCAAGACCCATTAGGTTTATTTTAAACCAGAAGGCTACATTGTATATTGCCGTAACTTTTTTTCATTATTATGATATATTAAACCTTACCTGATTCTTCCCAAATCACATGAAGTAGTATATTCTCAAGGTAGGAAATGTGAAGGAGGCATTAAGGAGTTAACTGATTTTGAGGGTGGGAAGCATATCCTCAGTACCACAAAAAAAAAAAAAGGAAAAGAAAAGGAAAGTTATTCCAGTTATATAGAAAGTGGTAGGGCTAGATATATTCCCTGTCTAGTGTTCTACATCATAAGCTTAATAATACGGCTTAGTAATTTTCTCATCACTATTGACAAATAAATATCACTTTGAAGTTTTGATAGTGGGCCTTCAGTTAATTTCCTTCCTTCCTTCCTTCCTTCCTTCCTTCCTTCCTTCCTTCCTTCCT